CTCTCCTTATATGGCTTACCCCTCATTACCGCTATCATACTAGTAACCAACCGTTGCACCATCTCGAGGCAATTTATATCCTCTTCAAGAAGGGAGACCAAGCTTGCACGCAGTATTCCAACTGCGGCCTTCGGTGTTCTCCAAATTACCTACCGATTGCCTTAGTGCAGTCTTCGGTTGCACATAGCTATAGTACGTCTTGGGTTCCTGGCGGGCTCTGTTTGCGATTTTCACCTCAAAAGCCATTTTCGCCTGGTTTCCTAGCTTGCTAGCATAGTTTCTCACTTTCTTATATTGTAACCATCGATCATGCCCTCGTGTGAGAACGAATGCTTTCCACCTACGAGCCATTTCCCCTATGGCACGTTTAATGGTCGACTTCCACCGTTGCGGTTTGTGGGTATCACCCCGAGGCTGCAAGGGGGCATGCTTCTCCGTCAGCTCTATTAGCTGGTCGCGGATTTTCTCCGATCGTTGATCCACGGACGCTCTGGTCTGAGCATCTCGACTCAAGTCCTCTATGTTCATTCGTCCGAAATTGCGGCACCATCTGCGGGGTGGCTTTTCCTTTGTAATGCATGTTTCTAGTAACAGTACATTGTGGACGCTTTTACCGAGAGGAACCTCCTGCCTTAGGTCGCTGATCTCACTCTCTTGCCGCGTGAAGACCAGATCCAAGGTGGACGGTCTTTGCCGTAGCCGGATACGCGTTGGTTCTTTCACGTGCTGGTAGAGCGATGCCGCATGGGAGCAGTCCATGAAGTCACGTTCTGCTTGCCCATCTCCCTCGTCTTCATACTCCCATTCTATTCCAGGTAGATTGAAATCCCTCACTATAATCGGCTGTAGACACCTAAGATGTAGAAGTGTCGGCCTCTATTTCTTACAATGCAGCCTGTAGCTTGCACTGTTGGTGTACACAGTGTTAGCTCAGATATTTCCCATTGGATATATTGCCGAAGAACTAGCAGCAGGACCCCGCCCCCTCACCCACCCTCCTTATCAGTTCGATAGTGGGTGAAGTTCGGAGGGGCTAATTGTTCGACTGATAGGGTTTTGGATAACCATGTTTCAGTAAGGGTCACAATATCGCAATCCTGGCTCATAATCCCTAGCTCAACCCATTTGTTTCCAACGCTGCACACATTAGGGTACCACAGTTTCAGGCCGTGTGGCTGGAAATGTCAGTTTAGTTCAGTTCATTTCAGTTTGCACAGCACGTGTGGCCCGGGACAACCTTGCGTCCAGATTGATGTGTTGTTGGCTGTTTTTGGGGCTTCCAACACTGCGAGTCAATAGGTTTTTTCTGAAAGGCAGAAAGTAAGGTGCAGTATGTGGCTTCCAACACTGCGAGTCAATAGGTTTCTTCTGAAAGGCAGAAAGTAAGGTGCAGTATCACGTGGCACTCAGGACTAATAGGTACTTACCATCAAACTTTTTCAGGGATGGTAGAAGACCAACAGTCATCTAATGTCCTCTTGAAGGCAATGACGTTCGAGCAACTTACCACATTTTCAGGTCGACTATTCCAGTAAGGTATTAAGCGACTTGTAAAGAACTTGCCTCGAATGTCCAGCCTTACAAGACTACGTTGTAGCCTTAGACTATGTCCCCTAGTGCCACTTGAGGGGATGAACTGGAACATTTCTTCAAACCTAAGTCCGGAGAGACCGTTCATGATCTTAAAGACTTCCATGAGATCCTCCCTTACTCTCCTTCTTACCAGAGAGAATAAGTTAAGGTCCTTGAGTCTCTGCTCGTAGCTCTTACCTCTTTGTCTCACCATCATCCTTGTAGCCAGGCGTTGCACCTTTTCTAGACATTCGATGTCCTTCCGAAAGTAGGGTGTCCATGCTCGAACACAATATTCCAGGTGAGGCCTGACTCTGGTACAGAGGGACGAGAACCTCTGATCTCCTACACGTAGTCGTGGAGTGTACACGAAAGAGCTATGTTGGCTGTCCTCTGAGATTGTTGATAGGGTTTGAAGTCGTAGGGTATAACTACTCCCAGGTTCTTAACTTCTCTCTCTGATATGAAATTGTTTGAGAAAGTGGACACTGTTACCTGGTGAGCATGTGCCACAGGGTTTAGCCAATTAATTCGTGCCAAAAAGAGATCATTGTGATTTAAAACGATCTTTAAATGGTCATAGTGCATTTACAAGCCAGTACCTACAGAGAGTTTGTTCCAAAGATCATTATTTGAAGCTGGATCCGTGTACTGGTATGAAATTGTTTGAGAAATTGGACACTGTTACCTGGTGAGCTTGTGCCGCAGGGTTCAACCAATTGGGTGGAGCTGATTATAGATCAGTGGAAAATAAATTAAGCAATAATGGGTCACAGTGCTTTTACAATTGAGTGACGTATGGTCAAAATGGTTACGAATCCCAAAAGGAAACATGATTTATTCGTAGTGTTCTAGAGTACTGAATTGGGAAAATCAATAAAAAATGTACAATAAAGCAAACCTCAAATTTGGAGCCAAAAGCACTCAAGCAAACGAGAGCCGAATATGATGTCAATAAGAATACAATAAGTCACTGATGTTCGCTGATCACAGCAAATTCAAATGTGGAGAGCATCAAATCACCAGATTAATAATAATGTGGGGTGTTTGTGATTGAGAAAGGTCAATAGAGAAGCAACACGCTGATAGAGTTATGTCACATAGAATCGTCGTGGATCTGAAAGGAATTTCAAACCAAAAATCAACATGAAATACAGTCACTTTATTCCCACGACGCAGACAAACACAAGTCTAACTTCCAGTGGCCAAACAATTTCAACCCGCAACGTGATTTTCCTGGCGACCAGAAAATCATCAACCCATACCTATCATGTGGAGCTTACCACTTACGCTCCCCGTGTCGGTTGCGCAATGCACAGTACCACGAATATGCAAAAACCACCCACATCTGGAGAGTATTCAAACAGCTCCGCTGTAACCTAGCACAGCCATCGTCCGAGTGAGACCCAAGCCTAGTGCTTTTATTACGAACCCGAAGTCACTGTGCCCAATTCATATACAAAGATGTAAAACTACAGTGTGACGTGCAGCACCAGTTTTATTTGGGAAACAGTAGTTATGGAATCTATCACTTCTACTGAAGTATCACGATCAATATATCCTGAAGTTGAAATCCTTCTAACTTCTGTATTAATTCCCGATGTGATGGGACACAAAATGTCGTTTATGGGTGAAGGTTTGCTGATGGTGCAGTCCACCTAAAACCGCTTTGTTTCCATTCACCTCTTGATCACCAAAAGCAGACTAATCATACATTGTTTAGCCGCTATTCATGAGTTGGATCACTCCGTTTACTTTAAACAGCACCTGGTTTAATGTGCACACGCACCTGCAGCGCATAATCGTGAAGTTTTCCAATAATCCTGGAGGTATGAACGTTCAGCATGCAGGATTGCAAGTTGAAGAGGAGCCGATCTTCATGAAACCGATTGTAATACCATATGGTTAACGTAAAGATATATTGAAGACCATCGATAAAATGGAGCATGGAGGTATCATCACTCGTGTCACGTAAGGAGTGTGGGAAGCACCAATTTTGCTAGCGATCAAAAGCGATGTTAAAACATCAAAAATTTGCAGTGAATATTGGCTCGGTTGCAACCACTACCCCGAACTAGAAGACTCCGTAAAAGCATTTTATGGCCTGTGCTTTTCAAAAATTGATTTGGCAGACGCATATCTTCAAGTTCTTCTCGTCCTAGCCTTCCGGCAATTCACTGAGAACAATATATTATGGGGACTATATCAAAACGACTTCTTGCCATTTTGTCTACAAACTTCACCAGGCATATTCCAGACAACCATTCGTGAAATCAATAGCTTGTTGGCATACCAGGAGGATGTTATTGTGTTTGATACAACAAAGGCTGAACACAACGACGGACTCTCAATTTGCTGGAGCGTTTTGCACAAAATATTGCCTCTTCGAGCCTCAAAATGCATGGTCATCTCTCAGAAATTGAAATTTTAGGTCTAAGAAATCACTAGAAAGGTTACTGATCTGATCCTGGTCGCTATCATCCGTTAACTGAACCGGTATCAACAAAAGACCAGCAAAAATTGAGGTTCATCACGTGATACCTCTAATATTACTGACGTTTCATCCCACACTTTTCCAAGAAGGCCTTACCACTGTTTACAGCTCAGTCAGAAGTAGAATAGAAGTGGATCACCAAGTGTGAACAAATTTTACGTGTCATCTTTGAGATGATGACGGAAATCCCAGTACTTGTTTTATTTCCCCCGGCGAAACACTCAACATTGACTACGGACGTAGAACTTGCCGTGCATAATTGTGCGCAACCAGTTAAAAACACCAAAGACGTAGTCACTACATGCCAAAGAATGGAGAGCTTTTGAATTCACATCAAAAGTACCAAAGAAAGTTTCTGCAAAATCACATGTTGGAAAGGGATAACTAAAGAGATCTAAAGAGGGCAACGCCGCAGTTAGCAAGGTAAAGTCTAACTCGCCACGAACATAAGACAGAGAAGCGCAACTAAGGAACCTATTTACAACTGGCAGTGAGAAGAAGAAAAGCCCAGGTGGGCTGTGAGGAACCAGTTACATGAGCGACAATAGGAGCAAAACCCCTGTAGCTGCAAAGTTCCCAGCTCTCAAACTGCAACGGTGATTAAGTACTGCAAAGGCAAATGAGGATGTGGCTATGGGGTAGAGGAGTCTTTTGAAATGACGATAAAACTCCTTTCCAGATAGAAAAGCGGAATGGATTGGAGAGTAGAAGAAGCCACCATCACAACTGTAACCCCTCAACCCCCAAATAAACGGGGTATAGCCCCGAGCATTGCGCTCAAGGAGCACCTAGAAATGAGTTTTCAATCCAGCAGACATGTTCATGCAGCCACAGTCACACTGTGATGCACCAATGCTCGCAACATACGGGGGAAGTGGGGAGAAGTGCGACGGTACACCCCAGGTATAGACATCTTGGACATAACAGAATCATGCAAGCGGAAGCAAACAGCTCCTTGGGGATGAATGACTACACAATTTATACACAAGAAAGAATGGAGGGCAGGTAAGGGAAAGTGTTCTAATAATGAGAAAGTGAGACCACACGCAGTGAGAGTCAGCGGCAGCCCTAGCGAATAACGACATACAAGCCGACAGTTATGTAGTTAAANATGTGCCTCTACCGGGCTCCGGAGACAAATGTAACGGCAGATAAGGCATTGGTTGCTCAGCTGCATTTATTCCTTGCCACGTACAGAAGGGTGTTGTTCGTAGGGACTTCAATATTTCAGAGATCAGCTGGAACAGAGACAGGGCACCGGAAGGTACCGGAGGTGGACTACTTCTAGCGTGGCTACATCAGCACGCATTATCAAAACTCGTGCAACTAGCCACACGGTTTAAAGCAAATGAAAGACAGTTCTTACTGGATCTAGTGAACATGAGAACCCCTATAGGCAAAAAGACAATAACACAAAAGGAGCCCCTGGGGAAAAGTGGTCATGTGATCCTGCGGCTAAAGCTAGAAAGAAGATAAACCAACCCAACGGCCAAGCTAGGAAGGCGATATGGAAAAAGCAAGCAGGACGACTTGGTCAGAGCGGCGCAGGATATAAACTGGGTACCAAACCCATCCGATTCATCTCTATAAACCAGATGGAACCACATCAAGGCTGGAAAACTCATACTCACGGACAGGTTTGCGCTCGTGATTCCGTTGAGAAAAAGGCAACGTCCTCCTTGGTAGGAGGTAA